TCCGTTTCTGACCCTCGTTTATTTTTTAATAGATTTATACCTCTTTATCACCATAGAACCGTCCTATCTCCCTCTTTCTTTCGTAAACATTAAATTTGATTAATATGTTTCAAACGCACACATAAAGGACAGGATTCCTCTGTACATATTTGACCTCCTGATTTTGATCAACATATATGGGTCCCAGAACTGCCAACACTCAGCAAGCAAAATAAAGCAGTATCAGAGCCCTGGTGGCATCAGAGTCTAACAACTTGCACACTAGACTGCTAACTGCAAGGTCAGCAGTTTGAAACTACTAGCCTCTCCGAGGGGGAAAAATGAGGCTTTCTAGCCCCGTAAAGGTTTATGGTCTCAGAAACCCACCGGGGCGGTTCTACTCTGTCCGGTAGGGCTGCTATGGGTCACGATCCAGTCAGTGGCAAGGAGGGTTTTTGTTTGTTTATAATAAAGCAGTCTATTGAGTTTCACGCACGTGACTAATAGTTATGAATGCTGCCCACCAGGGTTGTCTCCCCCCCCCCACCGAATTATCACCTTAATGGCATGTCCTTACAGTGATGTATGTGACAAATGTGTAGGAGGTGAGCATAATAATAAACACTCGCGAGCCCACACCCAACCTGAGAACTCACGTGTCTGATATGTGAGTGCCCTTCGCTACTCCATCGCCCTGATTCTGCGTCCTCCATGGAGTTCAACTCTGCCCAGAATGTGGTCGATCATTCCCTTGCTTTTAAAACGTGTTATCCTGGATAGATGGATTCTTATACAGTAAAGTGCTTCCTTCTGCTTTTTTCTCTCTTGAGATTTCCAGACATGTAAGTCTAGGGACTTTTTCTCCTCCTTGACTATTGCTCTGCAGGATCCTTCCCCATCGCTGTACATCATTGTAGTCCATTCACTTTCCCCTCGAACGAGGGGAAATCAAGAAGTATTGCCACTAGCGTTCCAGTCCACACATGCACATGCTCATTCCAAACAAAACACGCTAAACAATTCTCTGCAATCGTGCCTGGCTGCAGACAGAATCTCATTATGGTACCTTCAAAGTCAAAGGGGGAAAGGCCCAATCGAAACAGTGGTCCTCCTGGGCCCTCTGCTGGGCCAGCTAAAGTCAAGGCAGACAGGTCCGCTCCCCGGGTTATGGTGCGGTTTGGGGGGAATTCCAAGAGGGGTGCTTTTAATAGATTTTCTCAGAGGACATAGGATGATCACAAGGGCTAATTTAAGGGAGATTTTAAAACAGTGAAAAAGGCTTTGGTGGGACAAAGACGAGAGAAATTGTACCAAGGAATTTTATTTTTCCATCATGACCATACTACACCTGCTCATTCTTTGAGGGTATGCAGAATTTCATCTGGAAACCCTTTCTCATCCACCCTCAGCCCTGATCTCGCCCCTTCGGCATTCGTTGATATTGCTGTTGTTTCCTAAAGGCAACGGGAATGCAATTTGAGCCCCTTAAGTATGCCCAAACTGTCATTTTGACTCGTGGGTACGCCTTGGGCTGCTCACTGTAAAGTCGGCAGTTCAAAACCACCAGCCGCCCCATGGAGACATGTGGAGCTTCCTACTCCCATGATGAGTTACAATCTCAGAAACTCACAGGGGTTGTTCTACCCTGTCCCGTTGTATGACGGTCGCTATGAGTCAGCATCGACTCCATGACAGGGAGTTTGTTTTGTTTTCGTTTTTAGGTCGGAAAGCAACGAGTTCCTCGGAAAGGGTGGAGAGATGGAAAAAAGATGCCTGTCAGAAGTGTAGAGACCTCTGGGAGGAAGGTTTCCTAGAAAAGATGTTAACAACGATCCCATCTTTATCACTAGTTTTAGAAACAAAACAATTTATTAGGCAGTGTTATACAGTGTTAATAAAGAAGCATATTATAAGGATGCTGAATAGGGAAAGATGTATCTATAGTCTGGGGGCCATTCGATTCATGGAGGTGGTGGAAGTTAAGCTAGACCACTGTTGTAGGGATGGTTTGGCTAGTGTTCTGGACAAAATATTTCAGAGTAAGAGAGTTGGGAGGTCAACATGCTATCCCAATGAAGAAGGCACATTTCAGAGAGGAGCATGAGACTTGACACCGAGAGTCTTCAATCACTCCTTGAATTATTTGTTAAGACTGCAGGGATAGGAAGTAAAACCACTTGGACAATTAACAATTCTAGGGAACATTAAAGCGTTAGGATGTAGGAAATCCTTGAAGGGTTTCAAATGACAACGATTGCACGCAATTCATTGTGTGTTCATTGGACACAGACTGGATGAATGGTATTCTCATAATTCTTCTTACATAAAGAGATGAGTAAAGTCAGTCCCCTGACCTTGAGTTCAGATCATAGGAGGAATGAGAGCTGGGCAAGATACAGGAAGTCAGTGTCCCAGCGAAGCACTTGATTAAAGTTGACTGATTAATTAGGTAGGATCCCCACTGATGGCACCAGGAGCTACTTCCTAAAAGAGTGGTGTTCAAGATGAACATTGAAGAAAGGATAGGACCCTGGAGACAGCAGGAATCGTTGTGAAATGAGGGGCCCTTTTGGAAAACTAGAGGAGCCCTGGTGGCAGAATGGCTGTGTGTTAGCCTGCAATCTCCAAGGTCAGCAGTTCAAAGCCACCAGCTGCTCCACGGGAGAAAGATGGGGCCTTCTACTCCCATAAATGGTTACGGTCTTCGAAAAAATCATAATTTACAAATTATCAAGGGTTCATGAGGGAGGGTGGGGAGGGGAAAAATGAGCTGATACCAAGGGCTCAAGTAGAAAGAAAATGTTTTGAAAATGATGGTGGCAACATATGTACAAATGTGCTTGACACATGGATGGACATATGGACTGTGATAAGACCTGTATGAGCCCCCCCTTCCCTCCAAAAATTTTTTTTAAAGATACAGTCTCAGAAACCCACATGGGCAGTTCTACCCTATCCTCTAGGGTCACTCTGAGTTGGGGAAACCGGATCCATCGAGTAGAGGTCCAGACACAGCGGGCACAGGAGGCACCCAGGCTGGGCAGGGAGGGCCAGTTCACAGGAACACTTGCCAAGGGGACGATGAATGAGCTCCATATCAAGTTAAATTTTTTCTAATTAAATTTTTTTTTTAAATCAAAAGAAATAGGTGTCATTAAGTTTAGCAGTATATCTTATCTACCTTACATAATACCATTTCCACCTGTATGCAGCATTTAGTGAAGTATTTTCTTTTCTTCATACTCAGTTTTTGACGTCCAGTGTCTATTTTATACTAACAGCACATCTCAGTGCCGACTAGTTGCCTGTCAAGTGCTACGTGACTGTCAGCCACAGCCGCCGTGTTGGGCGGCACAGGTCTAAGCTGTGCAGGACAAGTCGGCGATCGATGGTCTGACACCCGGTGGTGAAATGAGCACAGCTTTCCTGTGAGCCGCGTCTAAACATCTGTAGGACGCTTCCAATGCTCTTATCCCATGGGCTCCTCAAAGCACTCCTGCAACTTCTTGCTCTGGTCGGTTTTTGTTGGTCCCATTGAGGAAACAAACTCACTGCCACCAGGCCGATCCCTGATGAATAGTGTGGGACCGTAGGGCCACCGTGAGTCGGAATCGGCTCGAAGACAGTGCGCTGGGTTTGGACCGTCCCTTTCTCCAGGTGCTCTGTACCTCACACGTGCCCCTGTCCCGGAATCCACCCAGGTTTTACTTGTTATCCCGAGAAAGCAAAACAGTGGCACTTCAATCGAGAGACCTGGTGGCTATTAAGTTTACATTTGGACTAGCATTCATTTACATGATCAGATTCTTAACTTACATTTAGACTATCAGTCTACATTTTGACTCGTTTTATGTATCTTTCTAAATGAGGCATTTGACTTTAAATCCTGTTTTAAATCACTTTATATTACTATCGCTCTCTCTGTAAAGCAATGTGTTCTTTCCAAAGCATGTTTTGGTATTACCCTCACAAACACACGCTAGATGGCGTAATGGGTGCTCTCCCACCTCTAGATGAAGTCCCCCCGGGAGAGATGCAGGACCAGGTAGGACTGCGGAAGTAGCAGAATCAGGACAAAGCCACCACCTGGAGCCAGATCCTTCTTCCCAGGGCCTTTGTCTTTGAAAGCTGTTTATTGTCATCCAAATGGAAGTTTATAGGACGATTGACATGCACACACATTCTCATTCAATTTTTTTTCCAACCGTTTTACTGGCAAGTCATTTACACATCACATAATTCAATAGTTCAGTCATTCAATCCTATCAAGGAGAATTGTACAATCAGCCCCACATCGATTTTTTTTAGAACTTCCCCCTTGCGCCTCCAAGATGAGGTTTGCAAACAATCCATCCTAGTGCTCCCTCCCACATTTGGATTCCTGACTATAATTGCAATCCCCACCAGGTAGCAGCAGGTTTTCCACCTTTCCTCCCTGTTGGTACCATTTCCAGTCACCCTTCTTTTCTATCCCTTCCTGCCTGTGGAACTTTGTCTCGGAACAAATGCTGCCCTGTAAAGAGCTGACCTGTCTGGTGTTGCAGTTCACCATTGATGCTGATCTGTTGTTTGGCGGAAAGTTGAGCCCCAGGGGCAGTGAGTCCAGTTCCAGACTTGAAGGGTGACTACGAGGCACAGTCTTGGGGGGCTTCCACCAGTCCTTCTCTGAACAGTAAGCCTGGTCTTCTTTGATGATTTTGTCCCACATTTGGTCCCTTTCAGAGGTCAGCCCCGGTGGTGGTCGCCATCTTGTTTTTCCAGTCTCGGTCAGAGGTTAAGGAGCTCGGGGCTCATTGGTCCTTGGGACTAATTGTTTGCATGCATCAAAAAGAAAATTGCTTTTCCTCACACTTCTTTGGGTCCAGATGGAAAGAGCTCAATAAGCGCACCTTAGATGGCCACTCAAAAGCTTTTAAGACCCAAAGGCTACTCACCAAAGTAGGGTGTAGAACACTCTTTGCGGTCTCTTGGTCCCTTGGTTTTCAAAGAATCATTTCTGATGGGCCTTTCCTCCCGAGCAGGCAAAGGAAGGACGAACTGGAGCAGAGAATGTCGGCGCTACAGGAGAGCAGGAGGGAGTTGATGGTCCAACTAGAAGGACTGATGAAGTTACTGAAGGTAAGTGCAGCCCCCACTCGGAGCCTGCCTGCCCTGCCATCTCAGCTCGCCTGGCTCATTTCCACAACAGCCTCCATTTTGGTTTTTCCACGTGATATCAAAACACAGGGAGGCTAAAGGCTTAAAAATAGCTGCCTGAGTAATCTCTGAAAATGTAGCCCAATGAGGTCTAAACACCCCCTGGATGAATGTCAAGCCTGAGTATAACAAATGGTTGTTTTGGGTAGTTGCCATCAAGTCAGGAGCAATGCATGGCGACCCTTGTACAACAGAAGGAAACGCCCCCTGTCCCGGGCCATCCCATGACTGTTGGTGTGCTTCAGCCCTTTGTAGCAGCCACCTTGTCAATCTTCTCATTGCGGGCCTGCTCCAGGACTGGGCCCTCCCAATAATATGCCCAAAGTACTTGAGACCAAGTCTTGCCATCCTCCTTCCGAGAACCCTTCTAGGTGTACTTCCTCCCCAATAGCTTGTTCGCTTTTCCGGCAGTCCGTGGTACTTTCAGTATTCATCCTCAAGGGCGTAATTCAAAGGCATCAATTCTGCTGCAGTCCTCCTTACGCACCGTCCAACTTTCACATGCCTGCTAGAGGACTGAAAATACCACGGCTGGGGTCAGGCGCACCTTCGTCCTCAAAGTGCTATCTTCGCTCAGTAACGCTTTTGCAGCAGATTTCTCCACTGCAGTGTGTTGTGGTTACTGTTAGCTGTCATCGAGTCCGTTCGGACTCATAATGACCCTGTGGACATCAAGACCAAGCACTGCCCGGTCTGTGCCATCCTTACAATTGTACTCATGTTGGAGCCCATCTTTGCAGCCCCTCTGCCCATCCATCTTGCACAGAACATTTGGTGACGGGCAAGAATCTCAGGTGGCATTATGGGATAAGCATTGGGCTGCTAACCAAAAAGTCAGTGGTTCAAGCCCATTAGCTTCTCCACTGGGACTTACAGTTTCAGACAGACACCCTCTATGGGGTTGCTATGAGTTAGTATCAAATAAATAGCAATGACGTGGGGCTTCCATAGATGTTGATTGTGCATCCAAGAAACATGAACTCCTGGACAGTTTTAATTTTTTCTTCATTCATCATGACCTTGTTTACTGATCCGGCTGTAAGGAGTTTTGTTGTTTGTTTTTACATTAAGGTATAATCCATACTGCGCACTGTAATCTTTGGTCTTCATCATTAAGTGCCTTGAGCCCACATGATTTTCAGCAAGCAAGGTTGTGCTTTCTACATATCACAGGTTGTTAATAAACCTTCCTCCAGTCTCGATACTGCGTTCTTTATAGTCCACCTTCTTTGACTATATTGGCTCGGCATACAGATTGAGTAAATATGGTAAAAAGATAAAATCCGAACATCTTTCCTGATTTTATCCCCAACTTCTTTTAAATGACTGTCTTTTGGTCTCCGTATAGGTGTCTTTTGGGCACAACTCCATGTTCTGGAATTCCATTCATCTCACTGTTACCCATTATCCACGTAGTCAAGTGCCTTGTTACAATTCCACTTAGTCAAGTGCCTTTGCATCATCCATACAGCACCAGTAAACATCTTTCTGTTTGGCCTTCTTTTGA